TTTAACGCCTCCACATGAATGATATAACAATATTTCTCAGGTCCGTCGTAAAAAAAAAAGTCAAAAGAATGCTTTCGAATCAAAACAAAACCGTTGTTACTTCAAAAAAAACAATTTACATGAAAAATACATTTAAATGTTAGTGTGCTTTCTCCTCCTGTCGCTTGTGGTGGTGTTTTCTGCGCATGTGCTGTCTCCGTTTGATCACTTTCATCAATCGTTTCAGCTTTTTCTCAGTTGGCATATTCGAGTTCAGCGCCAGCATTTCAGGGCTCAGGTTTTCTTTAGTGACTTTTACGTCGTTATGGTGACGTCCGCGGTTGCCATGGTTCCGCTTATGGAAGCGGTGTTTGAGGTGGGCATTGTCGAGTTTACTTCCGTCCTCTCGCCGGAAGTGGAAAGCTCCTTTTCCTCTATGGCCTCTGCGGTGTTTATTATGGGCGACATGATCATTTGGTACCTCTCCTCCATCCGCAATCAGGACGTCTTTCTTCTGAAGTGAAAAGATATTTTTTATTGCTCCCTTGTTTCTATGAAAATGAAGGGCTTGTCTTAATGTGAGCAACAACAACGACGACGACGCTGAGGACGACGCCTAATAAAAAATGAATTTATATTTTACAAACGAAATTCGCGATTGTCTAGATCTTTTCGGTACGCCAATGGGCTCTAAAAACGTGCTTAAGCTAAATATGCAACGACGACGTTCAATTCCAAATGGAAATACGAAAAAGTAGCCGTCGTCGTCCACATTCCGTAGACGACCCAGAACTTGATCATTTAACGTTGTTGTTTTGAAGAGGACGGCAAAGAAATGTGCAAAGATTTATAACGCACGTTCACAGTTATTGTTCTGCTCATTAAACCTTTTGTTTAGCGACGTTCTCGTTGCCGTCGTCGTCGTGGTTTGCTTAAGCTCCCTAATAGCAAATCCATAACAAATCCAGATGTATAAAGGCCGCATTTTGCTTTAAAATCTGCCTCACGAATATGAAAGAGAAGGTCCTTTTGAGTAGGTTTCATGGCTACCATTTTACAGTTTAATTCTGGTAGTGTCGGTAGGGCACTATAGTGTCGGTAGGTCGTCGGCAGATTGTCGGCCCAGTGTATTGTCAGCCGACAGTTGACCNCGTTCACTGATACAGCACCTGACAGCAAGCCGCGTTAATACAGGTACTAAACCGTTTCTAGGCATTTCGCTTAGTTACTTTACCTGATTTTCTTCGTCTGCTCTGGCCTTGTTGTCTGCCTGAACTGCTTCAGTATTAGCTCGTGCGGTTTGTTGAACTTCGTGCCTCACTTTAGGCGCAATCTGTTCGTCGCCTTTTGATCGAACATTCTCTCCTTCACGCTTGCGATGGTGTTTTCTCCCATCGACAACTTGCGCGATCAAAACGCAGGAAACAAACAGGGAAATCAACCCCAAGAACTTCATCATCAAAGCTAGACGCTTCTTCCTTGACAAAGAACTCGACTCAAATTTATTCAGCTTTTAAAATATTAGGCAGCTGCGCATTCAAAGAGACGAGGCGATTACGTCATATCCGAATGTACTTATGCTCTATTCTCCTTTCTATCTTTACCGATGGCTCAATTTGGAGACTGAAGAGTATACGCAGAGAATTCATAAAATAGATATTTCCTCTTTTCAGGAAAATTTTGATACAGTTAAGCTATCTTGGACCAAACAAGTGACAAGAAGTTAGCCTCTGTCCCGCAAAGTGACAGCTAAAAAGTAAATAGGAACAACATTAAAATACCATAATCCTTACTCCTTTATAGTCTTTGTGGATGTCAGTTTTCGAAGGTCTTGTTATAATTCTTCAGCATTTTTAATTTGTATATTCGTTTATTTTCATTTTTTCGTTTTGTGGCCCTGACTTCTATGACTCATCGATACTCGTTCGTTTTCGTTAGGACGGCCAAAATACTATTTCTACAACAAAACTAAAATACAACAGTTCATTTGATCTTTTTGTGGCACCTGTTCTTAGCTTCACTGCGAAAGCTTTCCGCGAAACGAGACAGCTGACTAACGACATAATATTGAATGTAGCTTGCAGCGCGCTAATTTAATTTTGAGAACCAAGGGGTGCCAATTAATTTTAGTAGCTCAAGGGAGGGTGCTTATAAGAAAGGAAATAAGGAACTTTGTAGACAAAGGAACTAGTTTTTGTGATGTAAACTAATTCTGGGGTAATTATTGAACTCGATAGGCATGTGCCAATGGACAAATCAGATGACACGTCTCTTACTCGGACAAATTTAGGGGCAACAATTATTTTACGGCTTCTACTTATAAAAGAAGGCAAGGAAAAGCTGACAAGTGATCCACGCAGCCGAAGCTTAAGCCGATTTCTGTGGCATGAAGATACTAGGAGTGTCTCTACTCCCCCTGGATGGGATGCAAGGCTATCGCAGGTTTTCCCCCAGCATTAAATTCGCTAGTACCCATCTATATATCTGGGTGGAGAGAGGCACTGTGAGATCACAATGTCCCCTGCCGGGGCTCGAATTTGGACCGCTTGGTCCAGCGCGCTAATCATGAGGCTACCCCGGGGTCTTCCCTAACTCCGTTTCGGGGCCCATCGCCAACCCTATCCGACCCTACTACACAACGAAATTCTGTAAATTTTGCAATTAAGTCAAAGCAAAAGATATTTGGATTATGTTTCAGTTATCGTTTAGCCTGAAATGAGCAAGTGAGCAATCCGTAGCGTTAAAATAATTCAATGATTTGCGAAATGACAGGCCGTAATGACACGTTTTGCGGTATGCGCAGGCCCCGAGCTGTTGAAATTGACCTCAGCTGATAAGGTCAATGTTTCGGAGGAATCTCATGAGTGAAATTTTCGAAGATGGGAAGTTGCGGCGAAATAACTTCAGATCTCAATGCCAATAGCGCCGAGGAAAATTTCGGCCTTCCTGATTACAAAGTGCCATTTGAGTTTCGTGAACCGTACATTTTGTCCGGCTATCGTCGCCCAAAGATATCTGCTTGGGAATGTTTCCACAGCCTCTTCAAGCGAACCAACGAAACCATCAATGTCTGGTCTCACGTTGCCGCCTTTGCAGTCATCGTTTGGCGCTCGATCGTTGTTTTCACACAGCATAATCCACTTCACGATGCATTTGTTTATCCGTTGCTATCGTTTGCTGTTGGCACCTCCGCAATGTTCTTCATGAGTTCCGGAGCGCATCTGTTCAACTCGATGTCGAGCAAGACTCGCCATGTTTGCTTCTTCTTCGACTACGCTGCTATCAGTGTGTACGCCTTTTCTGTTGGACAAGCCTTTTACTTTTACTCAAGACCTCTGAGCACAGATCAGGTACTGTTCCTCTCTTATCCCGGTTATGTGGTTGTGTGTGTTTTCGTTGCCATTTTATCCACGTACGCTTGCTGTGCTTCGAGACATCGTTGGATCGACTTCAAGTTTTTAATTCGCACCGGAACCTTTTCTGCCTCTTTCTTTATAAACACTCTGCCATATTGGCTTCGAATGTATCAGTGTACGTCACAAGTGGACTGCAATGTTGTGTCTATCCCTTATTTCCAGCGCCAGTTCATGTTGTTTGCCATAGCTGCGGTCGCTAATGGTAGCAGGTTGCCTGAACGACTCCTGCCCGGTGTTTTCGACTTCTGTGGTCAAAGTCATCACTTTTTGCACGTTCTTTGCGCCATTGGTTCAATGGACGAGTTTACAGCCATATATCTAGACATGTCAGGAAGGAGGAAAGCTCTGGAAGATTTGTCAGCTATTCCCACGTTTACAAACAGTCTTCTGCTGACATTGCTTGTGCTAGTTGGTAATGTTGTTGTTGTATTATACTTTACAAAGTCCATCAAGCCAGTTGACAATGCAGAGAAAAGAAAGGCTCGAGGTAAAGGCAATTGAATTACCAGATTCTGGGCTTTGGAGGAAAAAATTAGCTTTACATGTAAATAGTGAATTCTGGATTTTCCTCAAAGGAGAAAGAGATATTCCCTTTAACCACCTCCCCCCCTCTCCCATCCTTTTAAAACTATTTGTGTCTGACTCGTAAGGCCTTCCAAGGGGGTAGCCGTGTCACCATGTCACATACTTTTGTGTACCAATGTTACCTAATCAGCGGAACCAAATGTTGCAGTTGTTTTTCTACATGAACTCATATGTCGCTGTCACTATTTGATTTTTTCCTGTTTTTCCTGCAGTGTACGCTCTCTCAAATAATGCAGCTCATGGTTTTAAAATACCTTTTTCAATGTTTATGTTCATCATCTGTGTTTCCTGTCCAAAAGGGTCAATGTCACTGTCTTTTCTAGTGCTTCTCTTGTCACTGTCAAATTTTAGCAGCGTATTCGACTCGCTTGTTACTAATTAGAAATTCCCATGTCGTTGGTTTTCAGGGTCGTGTCACTTGTCCCTTTTACCCTTGGAAGGCCTCACTCATGTTATGTTGGTTTTCGTAGATAAATCAGAGGTGTTACTGTGTTACAGAGCCTGTGTGCAGCCACATGTTCTCCTCAAGAAAATTAACAGGAGTTAGTGGGGTAACATTGATCATTATGTTTCTCACATGAATTATCATTGCATTAAAACCATTTCAGTAGAGACATCAAAGGGGATGCTGTCTGCGCATGTTCAGGGGCGTGCGTAGCTAGGGGGGTCCAGGGGTGCCCGTGATCCCCCCTTTTGTAAGCCTTTTTTAAGCGAGCAACCTACAGCAGGTGGCAAAAGTGACATTACAATCTGGTGAGTACCCTCACTTTGACACAGTGTAACCCCCCTTTGAAAAATCCTGGCTATGCCCCTGACCCTAGGCACATGGTATAATAGAAATCTAAACAGGCTATAATGTACAGTACTCAGGCTTTTAGTCATATGGACGTCCAGGCATCCTGTGGAAGGCCACTTATTAAGAAAAAAATTTTTTTCATGCATTGCCCCATAAATTGTTCAATTGAGCAGGACCTATAGCACTTTTTGGAGGGCCACTTTTCGAATGCGGCCCCATACCCCACTGGGGGCAATAAGGATTGATGATGATAACTTTTCAAATCCTGGCTAAATGCCTGACAGTACTCCTGAAAACAACTTTAAAACCATTTGTACAAGGGTGAAATTATTTATACACAAAAACTGGGAAAGTGCAGGAGCTTGGACTAAAAAGAAAATGAGATCACGGCAAAAGAAAATTATAATTATATATATTAAGCTTTAGTAAAACTAGACTGTCTTCAATAGACACATCATTTTCAACTTGGAAAATATTTGTTATTTTCACTCTATCATTCCTTCACTCCCTCACTCCCTCACTCCCTCACTCCCTCACTCCCTCACTCCCTCACTCCCTCACTCCCTCACTCCC